TTTCTCTACATGATTATAGTTACAAATATCAAGTATTTTCCTCTTAGTGTGTGTGTTTAAGGAGAATTTAAAAAATATTTTTTTCATACTCAAATATGTTATGTAAAATATTCAGCATATAATTAACTCTTTCGAAAGTCTTAAAATGAATTTAGAGTTTTGCTAATTTTATTTTCTATGCAAACCATTTCGAAAAGACAAAACCGTGTTAATCAAGTTAGTATTATTGGGTTAAAACTATCTCTGCCAATTATTAAACGCCGATGTTTTGTGTATACAAGTTCGGTAAGCCAAATTTTTTCGCGCTTACTTTTATCCGATTTTAATCACCAATGAATAATTTTCATTCATAAATCCAGCGATAGGTCCATTTAATCCAATAACACGGCATAGATGATTGGGCTTTTGTGTAGCGTTCAGCAGGTATATCGCGGTATTCTTGTGAGCTGATGGGTTTCCCGCTGCGCGACCCTCGACAACACCTTCCCTATCGTTGTCATTGCATTTTGTTTCACACGTTTCAAACTTTTCATCGTTTCATTAGACGATCGATAAGAAAATAACGGTGCCTATGTTTAAACTACATTTATTAACTTTAAGCGTTATAAAAATTTATATCCGTCAGATAATATTTTTATTACGAAAATGATTTTTCTTCCCCTTCAGTCACATACTAGAGAGTTCAAGAAATGAAATTGGAAATGTCTATCGATACGGGACAAAGTAATAATCCGCAACTCTTCAATCACAATAATATTCTGTTATTAAATGAATTGGAAATATTCGATCACTTCAGTACAGTTTTACGTACGTGTACAAATTAGTTTTTAAAATAAGTACTGGCAAATACAAAGAAAAAAAATGCTATCTTATAATTTGTGCGAAATTAAATTGGCCACACGAGATAAGCCGGTTCGTCAAATTCAATTGAGTATGACGGGGATGCTGGAGTCGATGACGAACTCGAACAATGTCGATAAGACATTGTCAGAGTATGGCGGAGACGATTGTCACTAACATAATCACGCTATCCTTTTCGTATTTCTTGTATATACAGAATTTACATGTGTGTTTCTTTGCTTTACCATATCCAAGTCGAAATTTTGATGCTACTTTAACGTTCTGAAAGATAGTTCGTGCCTACTTAGAGGTTTATAACCTAAGTAAAACCTACTTTAACGATATTGATATTCATTAACTTCTCTTTTGAACCTTTAACTCTACCATGTCAAAATTTTAACGCTACTTTGACGCTCTTAAAAATAGTTTGAGCCTACTTAGATAATCTATAACTTAGGTAAAACCTATTTTGACGATATTGACACTCATTTCCGAGTCGCAATTTTACCTATGTTGAATCTTGAATTCTATAAAATATATATATTCTATGTAGGAGCTAAAGCTTCAATAGAGGTTCATAACTGAGCTTACTTTACTTCCTAAGATCCTACTATTAGACAATCTACTTTGACGCTAAAGAAAGCGAAAATGGAAATTTCAAACATCATCAGGGTCAAGGTAGGAGTAAATTATATCATTATAGAATTAAACCTACGTTGCTATCTTGGCTCATACTGCGGTGTGGAGTTCAACATAGGGTCAAAATTTCGACTCATATTCAACGGAAAACCTAATCATATATGTGTAGAAATCTTTCTGCAAACTTTTTCGATATGTTTAAGCTTCTAAATGCAGATGCGAAGGTAGAGCAATGTTCTTCAAAATTTTTCTGTTTGGAGCATCCACACTTTCGGTATAAACAAGCTGCGGAATTTTTGGATTAGACAAATATTACGCTAACTGACAGCTTGAGACTTTACATTAAAAATTTTTTGTTCGTTTTCGACACATATCGAGCAATGCTCCTATTTATTTTTGCATGTACTTTCATTGCGTAAAAACATTTGTAATTCTGTGTAACTAATGCAACGTAAACTTTGCAGAAAAATGTCAGTGTTCTGTCGGTAAAGTTTTCAGCTTTAGCGTCCCCTTAAAGACTCAATCAACTCCTTCACTAAAATTTATGCTAATGTCGAATCGTGATCGTGATATTACATATGATAAGTACCTTGATTCAAAATAGTCGTTTCCGGGGTAGATGTGGATGGTTGTCCAAGCACTGCTTGCATATGCTGCGCATCTTGTGACACTAGTTGCTGAGTTATCATTGATCCATGTCCGAATGACGAAGTAGAGTTTGATGTACAATCAATCCAACCATTATTTACGTTATTGTTTAATATAAAATTATTTTGATCTTCAGCGTACATCTTGTTGTCTTGACAGTTGTTACAATCAGCTAGTTATGACGAATCCGTAACAGCAGGTAACCAACACTTATTTTACTTCGTAAAAATCGTAAACTTCTTCTCACATCCAACGTTACACAGAACGTTCTAATTTTTCTGATGATGATATATATATATAATATATAAATATATGTCTTATATTATATGTGCAGTTGATATTAACAAAATTATCTTTGTTGAGACTCCACTTGATGCATGTCCGATGGATGACGAGCATCGACTGACAAAAGTTTTCGACGTTTGGCTTCTATATCAGGCATTTTGGAAATATCCCCTCTCTTCTGGTCTTATATAAATGACTTTTCTACAATATTAGTGTGACGGAGAAGATGAATAAGATGAGTAAGAGAATTAGAATGTTTTAGAATGTGGAAACTAGTGGAAGTAGTGATGGAAAACCTGAAAGCAGCGGAAAACTGAAAGCAGGAAGTTATAAAAAAAAATATTATCTTTAAGATATAACAATAAAGAAGGACAAAAAGAAGGAATTATAATTAATCAACTTACAAGGCTTCTTTGATTAAAATAAAAATATAACACACAACGGACATAAACTAAATTGCGGGTCTAATTTGCATATATTTACGATAAATTTTACAGGCAAGTATGAATTAGTTAATTTTTAAATGTCCGGACGTTTTGACTATTTTTTGTGGTCATTTTTAGCCGAAATTACAAATAAGAGCCACCACAACGCGAGAACACTTATCTGCATCTAGCAATACGAATCGGTCGCTCTCATCTCAGACCGTTTGAAATGTTCTTTTGAAACACAAAGAATATTCAATGAGAAAATTTATTTTTATGATTATTATATTTTTATGATAATTATTATAAGATAGTATATATGTCCCGCCACTATCGTATTATCTTTTAAAGCCGGATTCCTGAGGTAATTTGAATAAAAAAATTTTAATGCAAAAATGGCGAGGCTATGATACTTTTCAAATTATAAACGATTAAATTTGACCAATTATATCGGCTAATGCACGCGTGCTCAGGTACGGTACAACACACAATGGTATACAGGTGCATGCACATGTCGTCCCTTTTCCAAATATTGATACGGAAGTTCCATACATACAACAACGTGCGTAATAATAATCTGCCTTTTCTATCAATTAAATAAACATATCGCAAATAATAACAATTTCGTCAAAATTTTGTTATCAATAAAATATCATACAATACATTTATGAGAATCAATAAGCTGTCACACATTTGACGTTTCTTTCAGAGATTTACAACTAACTTCATATCTTATGCAAATTCTCACTTATGTGCATGCACCTGTATACCACTGTGTGTTGTACCGTATCTGAGCGCGCGTACATTAGTCGATATAATTAGTCAACTTTAATCGTTATAATTTGAAAAGTATTATAGCCTCGATATTTTTGCATTAGGATTTTTTTCTTCAAATTACCTCAGGAATCCGTCCTTAAGAGATAATGCGGTAGTCGCGGGACACTCTGTATACATACATAATAAAATTATTATAATGAGATAACATACATATATATACGTACACATAAATACATAAAAATACATAAATACATAATACATAAATACATAAAAATACATAAAATATATTGATAAATGTTCTCTCTCTCTTATCCTCTTATATTAATGACATCTTTTCTAAGACATTCGCGCGACGGATGAGCAAGATGAGTCAGAGAATTAGAATGTGTGTGAAAACTAGATAGTGATGAATAGCCATAGCAGCGGAAAACTGAAGATAAGTAGAACTAATAAAACTAAAAAAACTCTACAAATAAGAACCGGATATAAAAGACAAAGTCATAACATATGTAATTATAATAAAAGTTATAATGTTACAATATAACGTATATAATAACGTATAACGTATATAATAACAATATAACGTATATAATTCAAAACAGAAAAATCGAATATTGTTGCTGGACGTGCAAGTGATGATATGAAGGCAATCGTATTCGATAGATATCCTCCCGGGATTGATAGACCTCCAGAATATCCAAAAAAAGATTGTTATTATAATACATCGTCGTTCGCGTAGACTATGGTGAAATTTTTTTAAATTAGAAATTTAATTGTATACATAATAAGTTATAATAATAAAATAGCTCATCAACGATGAAAATATTTTGCACATCCGGAAGTAGCTTAAAATCGAAAACAATTATTTGGAGAATATGTTAAATTGTGAAACGAACAAAGATAAAGTTGTAGAAGAGCGCGTCGATGGTATATAGAAAGTGTATTATGAGTATAAGGAAAAAGGAATGAAATTGATAGAGAAGAACGGGAATATGAAATGAAAACAAATACTTCTTACATAAGGTTCAACAGCGGAAAGTAAATATTATTTGACATCTCAGTATGTGCGAAATGTTGTGCGTGCTGAAAGTTATTTTGATTTTCTATATACATGACTTTAGAAATCAATTCTTCATGATAATGTTATTCGCTATTATATTCTTATAGACAATTAGGAAATGTCCCCTCTCCTCTCCTCTTATATTAATGGCTTTTATAAAATAGCGCGACGGAAAAGTAAGATGAGTAAGAGAGTTAGAATGTGTGTGAGAACTAGATAGGGATGAATAGCCATATTAGCGAAAAACTAAAGATAGGAAGTAGGAACTAAAGATAGGAAAATATTATCTTCAAGATTATCTTCAAGACAATAGAGAGTAGAATATTCGCTGTTCAGGATTTCAACGTTCTCGCAATCAAATTCATGATTCATTTCAAGTGTGTCGCTTAATAACGACCAAAGATAGAATAGTATTACGTGTGATATGATACTCATGTCTTTTAATTCGAGTGTCGAGTTGTCTTTTGGTTTGCTCTGCATAAGACACTTGACAATCAATACTCATTCGACGCAAGGGCGAACATAGGCATATAACGTTAGACCGCGTAGTTCAATATTGCGAGAATCGCCAAACGGTAGAGAACTTTCCTTTCCAGTTTAGTCCACTCTACCTGCTCGCGTGCGATGTTGGGAGAATGATCAGACACCTTGTATATCAACGCACGGTAAATTTTCGATTTCATAGAAGGACACTTCCTACGAAGTTATATTATGAAATAGCGATGGAGGGAAGAAAGAAAAACGCGAATCGGTTCAGGGTCCGGACTTCAAGATACGAAACCGAGAGATTGATCAGCGTCATCCTGTCCGTCTATCCCTAGACTCCTCCGATATTCCTCCTCCTCTTTCACCATCGCGAGATTCTATATTCTCTTTTTGCCCATTTCGCGTCTCTTTCCTGCGCTCTCTCTCTCTCTCTCTCTCTCTCTCTCTCTCTCTCTCTCTCTCTCTCTCTCCTTTTTCTTCCTTTCTTCTCCGTCTTTTCTCTCCTCACGGAATCAGCCATTCTCCATCCGCGCCAGAGAGCTGTCTGCAGATCCGCGCCACCGGTTTTCCAACCTTCCTCGCCCACCCTAAGGGCGAACACCCTCCGACTCTCGGCCACATTCACCCCTCGCCGAAGCTTCCTCGTCGTCTGAGCGTCCTCTTTTTCTACGCCTGCTTGTTCCGTAGACAAAGATCGTTGCGATAGAAAAAGAAGGCCAACGGGTAATAGGAGGGTGAGTAACACCGTAGAAGGAGGACAGGAGAGAAGAGAGAGAAAGAGAGAGGGAATCCTCTCGTTGCTTCTTCCGTTAATTCTTTTCTTGCAATCAACTTTTTGAACGTTATCACTCGTCCACACCTTTTTCGCTTTCGTTATCACTGAGAATTATCGCTGCTTCGTTATGTCACTATATTCGTGTTTTGCTACAGTTCACGAATATTTTAATTGAAAACTCATAAGATATTCATTTTACGAAAGCATATGTCATTAATTATATGATAAAAGCTTTTATTTGAATCTCTTGTGTAATACAAGACTCTTGGGTAATAGAAGAATATCATATATTAAAAATATTGTTATTTTTGTTGCACAAGTAAAGGACATTTAAATGATAAGTATATTCGTTGATTACGTTTAATTTTGCACAAACTCGATATTACTAACTTACTACACATACACGTACGCATATGAGCGTGCAAACACATACACATATACATGACAGTTATATACATAATTAGTAATTAAATATCTGACTTTAATATCATTTATATTTAATTCCAAAATATAGCGACATGACGCTCGTATGACTTTTTGTATGATCTTCATGTTGCACGTAACAATAAATAATTACAGCATACTTTGTATGCTTATAATCTTTGAGATATCGGGCCGTATATTGCTGTAGAGAGTAACAGAGATGGTGAACGAAGGAAAATATTTTAACCGCAAGAACGAGTGAGCTGACATCAGGAAGAAGGAGAGGCGGGTATGAAGGGCTTGGTTGGAATATGGGGAGATAGTAGACAACGTGCATAGGTATACAGAGACGGGTGAGTAAGGCGATGGAGGACAGGAAGAAGGACGGGTAGGGGGGAAGTAAAGGGAGGGTTGGTTGAAGTAGGAGGGTAAACCTTTCCCGACCCTTAGCAACGCTCTCGCGACGCGCTATCCTGCGGATAACATCAGCGGCTTCAGGGCAGGAAATGAAAATCGCGCCGACACTGTTTAATTTAGATAAAAGCATATGTTACACGACGAATAGCGTCGCAGGTTGGTATATCCTTGAAGAGGCCACATTATGTCTTTCTTTAGAAGCAATCTGAGTGAGGGTGCACGACGGGAACGGAGATGTCCTATTTTCGCTCACTTGTCCATGTTGCATGCGTCATGCGCAATACTCAAAGACTACGCATTAAATTATATAATATATTTGTGTACATGATGCGCGCGCGCGCATCACACACACATACACACACTTTAATAATCGAGTAAAGGTAAATGACACAAAATTTTGTTTAAGTTGATTGGCAACTGACTCAGCTGGCAGAGTGCCAATATGGAAAATAAAAGATAGTGTGTTGTTAAAAGGCTTAAAAAATATTCGTGTTCTAGTTTTACAACTTTTATTTAAAACTGATATCAATTATATACATATAAGTATCACTTGCTTTATTCTGCTAATATGCACAAAATTATTAATTTTTTAATTATTGTCAGGCGACAAAAATACGCAGTTAGAAATTGTAAAATATAGAATTAGAAGTTGCTGTTGTAATTCTACTGGTGAATTGATTAAGCCCATTAAAATATCATTAGTCAAAACTGATAAGATTATCCAAACAGGTTTGGAGAAACCTGTTTCTTCTTTTCTGTAGTAACATATAAGATATATGTTAAAGGAAAAGTGAGAATTAATATAGGAAACTGTTGTTACCAGAGATTAGATAAAGTTTTTAGAAATATATCAGGTGAATGAACACACATAG